AAAATCCCTAATGCCAGAGGAATAGATTAATATGACTACATGAAATTCAACAACAAAAACTTGATGGTATAATAATCACTGCATCAAAAGAGCGAAACAGGATGGCATTGGCTTTGGGACAGCGTGATGGAAGAGGTGGAGGAGTTGTAGAGGTCGGTAAAAGATTATTCATGTGGTCTAGAAGAGTGGTGAGGAAATTGATATTGCAATCAGAAAAAAAGAAGAACCGATAGTATATACGAGGGATACAGTTAGCAGGACTATCGCCTGTACTCAGTCATGTAAAGACTAAAAATACACAATGAATTTTTGGAATTGCCAAAGAAATGTCTAGGAAGAACACTTGAAGTCTCCGTTGGATTCTTCTAGTCACATATAAAAAGCTATTCCATAGATTTCAGTCACATAATGCTCATTTAAATTTAGCTGTAAGTATCATAACTGCTCATTGTGTTTCTATTATTTCTTTTCCTCCTCTTTCCCTATATTGAGGTCTGTGTTCTGGTTTAATATTCACTCAGTTGAAAAGTATACATTCTTAAGTACATTTCCTCAGATCAGGTACACAGAAATAAAACTCTCGAATTTTTACACATCTGAAAATTTCTCTATTTCATCCTCTGTCCTAAAATTTAATTTATGCTCAGATCCTGTCACAAATCGATAGTAGATACCATTTTTTTCCTGTGTTCTAGCTTCCTATGTTGAGCTGATAAGGGAACCAAAACTGGCCTCCTTCCTTGGCAAATAATTTTTCTTTTCAGTCCAGATGGGAAGCTTCTGTGATTTTTTTTCTAGCCTTGGAATTTCACCAGATAATAGCTCAGAAGCACATCTTCTTTAAAAAACAAAAATCCTATTTTGAACTTAAAGAGATGTTTCCAATCAAAGCCATATTCTTTCTTTAGGAAAGTTTTTTTTCTATAAATCTATCTCATCTCCATTCCTATTCTACATTCTGCAACTATTATTCCTATACTAAGCTCTCTAGATATGTACTCCATAGTGTTAATTCATCATGATTCATTTTTTTAACTTCAGTTAGCCACCAGTGAACATGTTGGCAAAATGAGAGCTCTGATTTGGGCACAAGGCATGAGCAGGGATCATGTGCATTTCCATTTATCTTTTGAATTAATGGAACCATTTTTATTGTATTTCCCTAGTACTTTTTATGCTGGCTGTTGATTTTAGAAATGTATTCCTAGTAGATAGTGACTTCAACAAGGATGCTAACTAGAGGCACCTAGTGTTCTTCCCTCCTTTAAAGGAAGAAAAAAAAAATCAACTGCTATTACACTGGAATGTGTGAAGCAGAGGGCCACAGTACAGTAGGAATGTGGCAGAGAAGTTGTGGAGCATGGAGACACACCATGATCTTATAAAGAAGGGATATAAACATACAGCATCCATCATCAAAATCAATAGAAAACCGACAGGGACTAACATTGTGGGGAAAGGATCTAGCAGTTCCCACCAACACCACAGACACAGAAAGAATCTGCTGCTGACGAAACTTGCAGCTTTCACAAGTCCTAAGGCACCGTTTTGGAAGCTTCTGGATAATGACACCACCGCATGTCACTGGAGAAGGAGCCAGGCCACATTGTGCCTCCCCCTACCTAGGTTCCTCATATAGAGTGTGATACTGAGATTCCATACAACAATGTCTGGTGAAGCAGCTGAGCAGCTGCCCCTAGGAACTCCGTCGACTCAGTCCTGGGAACGAGTAGAGGGGCCCAACTCGCTCACCACAAGCCTGGGAAGTAGCCAGGAAGCCCATCCAGAGTGGTCAGGTTGGTAACAGCCCTGGGAAGATGGCAAGGAGCCCTACCCACCTGCAAACAGCTAAGCAGTCAGCCTTAAGCAGCTTGCAGTGCTCTAAGGAAGCAACTGAGAAATCTGCCCTGGGGAACTTGGCCCACTGAGGCCCCAGGAAGAAGACAGGCAGTAGAACCCACGCACCCTCTGTGCTGAGAAGTAGCCAAGTGGCCACATTCCTGTGGCTTCAAGAAAAAGCCAGGAAGCCCTTCCTGAGAAGCTTGGCCTACCAAGACTCCAGCAAATAACCAGGCAGGCTGGTCCACCCACTAAAGCCTCCAAGAAGTAAAACAGGGCACCTTAAGTGCCTCAGCCCATATCAGAGCACTGGTTCAAGTTCCAGCTACTCTACTTCCAATCAATTCCCTGTTAATAAGTCACCTGGGAAAGCAATGGAAGATGACCAAAGTACTTGGGGCCCTGCCACCCACATGGGAGACCCAGATGGAGTCTGTGGCTTTTGGCCACAGAGGTGGGTCTTTGGCCCAGAGGTGTGCCCATTTCGGGAATGAACCAGCAGATGGAAGATCTCTTTTTCTCCTCTGTCTCTTCTTTCTCTGTCACTCTGCCTTTCAAATAAATAGAAATAAATCTTTCAATAAAAGTCTTAAAGGCCAGCAGGTAACGAGATGATACACTCAAAGTTCCAAATGAAATAAACTGCCCTCCAAGAATATTGTGACCAAAAATGATATCCTCCAAAATAAATGAAATAAAAAATCTTTCCAAGACAAGCAAAAGTTGAGGGAATTCATAACCACAAGGTAATTCTTATAAGAAATGCTTAAGGAAATCCTACACTGGAAGTAAAAAGTGTAACTATCATGAAAATATACAAAAGTACAAAACTCATTAGGAGAGCAGATACCAAAAAAGTAAAGAGGGATCAGCAATAACAAAGATGAATATCAAACAACGCAGATGAGTATCAAGGGAGGAAAAAAGGAACAGAGAACATATGAAACAAAAAATTCAGAGCCATTTAGTACTGTGTCTTCACTTATGAATATTTTGGTGCAAAAATTAATCTGTGCATTGCTTTTTTATAATATGCATTTTCAATGAACATTTGAAGACAAATTATATGCATGGATTTACTTTATGTGCAAAAATAAACACACCTTTGTATTACATTTTCCATAATATTTTTGAAATACCCTTGAACAGACTGCTAATGAAGGGATGGAAGATATATCACAACCAAAGGGAAACCAAAGCAAGCAGGAATAAGTACATTTATATCAGATAAAATATTTACATTAAAAACTAAAAAAAAAATAAAGAAGACCAACTTAAAAAGAGACAGTCAATTCACCAATAAGAGATAAAATAAAAATTGCAAGTATATATATTCTTTATAATGCAAACACCAAAAGATCAAAAGAGACAGAATCCAGTACAATAATATCTGGAGACTTTAACACCTCATTTCATCAGTAGACAGATTATCAAGACAAAAACATCAACAAAGAAATATTGGATATATAGTTATAAAGTGAATATTTAATTCATAATTACAGCATTGATAATCTTAGAATATATTGTTATCACAAGAAATATCAGAAATAATTTTGTTTAAATGTTGAAAATAAAATATAGCTTACTTTTAAGAAATCATGATACAAGAATAATAAGAATTAAATAGTAGTTTAAACTAGGATAACATGTGAAATATCTATATAGCAGACACAATAATGAATGTAAAGGGACTAGTTTAAACCATCATAAACTTTAGTTTTGATTTTTAACCCTTCCCCCAAATTTGGGGTGGGCATTTGGCATGTTGGTAAAGATACCACTGGGAATATTTACAAATCATATCTGAGTACCTGGTTTCATGTCCCAGTTCTGCTCCCCATTCCAGTTTCCTGCCAATATACATCTTGGGAGGTTGCAGGTGACAGTTCAAGTTGTTGGGTCACTGCCAACTACCTGGGAAACTAAGTTTTGGGTTTCCAGCTTCCAGTTTTGGCCTGACCTCACTCAGACTAGTGCTGAAACTTGGGTATTAAGCCAAAGAAGGAATATACCTTTTATTCTTATATATTATATATATACCTTTTATTCTATATATATACCTTTTTTTCTAATTTCAAATAATTTCTTTTAATTTCTACAGAGTAAAAATTAAAACCTCCTAATTCACTTCTAGTAGGGAGAAAATACAGAATTATATGAGCAACTCATCAGATACAGAAGGGGCAGTATTAATGACAAGCAGAATTTGTTTTTTTAAAGATTTATTTATTTACTTGAAAGTCAGAGTTACACAGAGAGGCAGAGAGAGAGAGAGAGAGAGAGAGAGAGAGAAAGAGAGGTCTTCCATCTGTTGGTTCACTCCCCAGACAGCCACAATGGCTGGAGCTGTGCCATTCCAAAGCCAGGAGCCAGGAGCTTCTTCCAGGTCCCCCACACGGTTGCAGGGGCCCAAGGACTTGGGCCATCTTCTATTGATTTCCTAGGCAACAGCAGAGAGCTGGATCGGAAGTGGAGCAGCCGAGACTCAAACTGGTGCCCACTTGGGATGCTGGCACTGTAGATGGCTGCAGCGGGGGAGGGGGAGGGGAGGGGAGGAGGAAGGGGGAGAGGGAGAAGGGGAAGGTGAGGGGGAGGGGGAGAGGGAGGAGAAGGGGAAGGGGAGGGGGAGGGGGGAGAGGGAGAGAGGGGGAGGGCGGAGAGGGAGAGTCTGACTTTTTTGGTCTAGTTTAAGAAAGATCGAAATCTCACAAAAGAATGTAAAAGTGAACTGTGATCAGTGAGGAAAGAGATGTGCACGAGGAAATAATGCAGCCAATGAGATAAATGCTAGGATATGAAGAGTTCAGCAAGATCTTGTTTTATTATTTTCAGTTGGCCTCCCGGGTTGCTATATTCTACCGTCGTGGTATTCACTTTTTTTTTTTTTTTTTCCCCCAGTTGCTCTTAAGTTGGAAAAATTCCCGAGGCAGTGCTTACAGAGCCAGTGCGCCCAGGGTTCAGGAGTTTGTGTAGCGAAATGGAGAAGGCGGCCAGCCTCTTCCATTGCCCTCTTGTATCAATTAACAAGCAGGCACTAATTATCTTGTCAGAATGGTGTGGACCTTATCGCTTTAAGAAGACAAATGAGTCCTAGGACGACTGAGTTCAGTGACGTTTATGAAACAATAGAGGCTCAAATCAGTAGAAGGATGGGAGAGACACAGAGCTCACTCAGCGTGGGAGACTCCCTGACCCCAGAAAGGCTGGGAAGCCGTCAACAGGCGGAACAGGAGCTTCATCAAACGGTGGAGCGGTGATGCTGAGCGGGGAAAAAAAAAACACCAAAAACCAAAACAAACAAACAAAAAACTTACAACTATAACCTACGCTAAGCTTTCTCTTAAATCTTCTCAAACCGAATGTCTATGGCCCACCCCAACGTACAGTCCCTCTGCGGGGTGAAACTTTCTTTACACTTCTGCTTAGGTTTGCAGTTGCTGAGGAGAGCGGGGCGCTGGGAACGGAGGCGATTCCTGAATAGTAAGCTCCAGCTGAGGAGAAAGTGGGTACAGTCACGGAGCCCTTTGCGCCGTCCCTCTCTTCCTGACTTACCGGTTCCTAAAGTAGTACTGACTTCTTAAAAACGACGACCGGGCTTGCAGCCGGGCTAGCGTGGCCATGGTGCCTCAGCCCCCGGTTTACAACTGGTGTTACTATCGGTCTCCATGGCAACTGGGCGGCACCATAGGCCAGTTCCTGCGGGGGGGTGACTTTTCGTTCGCTCTCCTTTTCTTTCACACTGTTTCGGCTTTAAGGGGACTAAAAAGAGAATGAAGAAATTGTGGGGTCGCCAAACATTTCACTGACTCGTCTTTTTCTCTTCTGTGACTACAAGGAAGCGATTACAAGGAGAGGAAAGCGGTGAGGGGAGAAGACCTAATGGTTGCTCCGGGCATCCGGTTTCCGCCTGCAGTCGGCTTCCGGAAGCTCCTCTCAAAATGCTGAACTGCTCTTTGGAAGTCGCCGGTGCTGTAGCAGTTGGAGTCTGTTCTCGGGCCTGAGCCTCGAGGCTAGGCTCCTGGGTGTCGTTAATGTTCGGGGCCACCGGGCGCCAACCGATCGGATCTCCAGCCGCCGGGAACAGCTGGTGAGGCTGGCGGCTCTGGGGATGGGAGATCAGGAAAGGGGGTGAATGGCCGGAGGCCGCTGGACCAGGAATGGAAGGGGGAGGGAGTTGTGATGGATGATCTGAAGACATCGAGGCCTGGCTCTCACTTGTAAGGACGCAGGCTGAGGGAGGCGTTGAAGAACTACAGTAAAGGCTGGCTGATTGCTTGTCTGACGTTTAGGATAATTTAGGAATGTAGCATTCCATACCATAGGAGCAGTTCATCTCCCTCTTGACTGTTGACAAGACTAGGGACAGGAGCCATGTATCCTAATCCAGACCCTCTTCCCCAAGCCTCTTTTAAAATTTATCAGATTGTACTAAGGGCCAAATCCCAGAAATCTAGAGTTCTGAAAGTTTAGTACTAGAAGAGGCATTGCCTTTTTATTTATTTATTTTGAAGAGGGAGTAGCCTGCCTGTTTCCATCATCTTCAACGTTTCTTTATAGTGTAAATTAGTTGTATATGGGTGTGCTTAGACTACACCAGGATTTGATTGGGATTTGACTCTGTCTGTACTATCATATCAGCAGTGACCCTTTAGGATGAGAGACTGCTTTGACTTCTCAAAGTGCTCTCACACACTGTATCCTTATGACAGCCTTCTGATACCAGCATATGGTAGGTGCAGAATACTTCAATGACTTGTTCAGAGTTGCCCTACACATTTTAGAAGATATCTTTTGGATTTCCAGTTGAAAACTATAATGTCTGTTGTGTTTTTCTCCCAAGACCTTTCCCTCCCAAGTATACACACAAGACAAGCAGTAAAACAAACAAGCAAATTCCCCCACTGAATATCTTGAACCAAAAAGTGTTGATCAACAAGTAAAAGAAATGCTGCTTAAAAAGGCCTATCCATTCCCAAGGGATCCTGAAGAAAATGGAACATAGGGAATTTTAGTAGTCTGTGATCTCAGAGAAGTTCTTTTGCATCAGCTGCCAGTGAGGAGTTAAAGGAGTATCTTACCCAAATATTGAGATGGATCAGATAAGTTGTTCCTTTTATAAAGAATGTAGGATTGGTTATACTACTTTTAAATCTCACATTTTTCAGTGAGAAATATAGGAAGCACTTTTAATGAACCATTTTTGAAAGGTGTAGCTAGCATGAAATAAAATCCACAATTGCTAAGTACTTCATTTTATTGGTTTCGGCAGTTGTATGTAGGTAGCTGCCACACATAACAAGATAAATGCTATTTCCATCATCCCAGAGTTTCTTTTCAGGGATACTTTTCTTAATCTTTCAAAATTCAATGTTGTGGTAACAGAGAGAGACAAAATGTGTTCTGTAGGTTCGTCTGCTCCTGCTATGGTGATATTGATTTGTAGGATAGATGGCTATTTTATTTAAAAGTATGGCTCTCTTAAATCATCTACCTTCTCCCTTCTAACGAAATCATGATCAGTTACCTTAGTATAATTTAGACAAGTCTCTTTCAGTTCTCTTTTGCAGAACCTAAACTGTTTTCACAGGTTGGCATACAAGTTGTTCTGTATTATGGCACCAGTCTGTATCAAGTACCTACACTTTGTGCTTTTGAATGAAATATTTAAAATCATACCTGATTTGCCAAAGTGAATATTTATCTGTACAACTGTCTAATCATTCACAATTTCTTAATGGAAATTTCTTTTTTAATCATTGAGTATAAATATTTACAATACCATTCTGGTAATGAAACCCTATGGTCTCTGAGGTTGCCTCCGAGTACTTATTTGGTGCCAGATTTTACATACATCATCATCTTCTGTAAATCTTTTGACGTAAGTATGTTATTCATTGCATTTTTAGATAAGCTAACACAGAGGCAAAATTAGTTTAAATAACTTGCCTAACCATCATGTTTGCAGCATTCCAGTATACCTAAAGAATATTCTTAAACATCTGGGTATACTACCTGTGTGTCTGCATAATACAGTATGGCAAATAATATGTCAACTATGACCACATCTGTTAACCAACCTAGGATCTGTGACTTCTAGTTTGACTTTTTAAATTTTTTCTCCAAGGTGGAGATTGTTTTTTTAATTTTTAGGCACCAAATGGACATGTAGGTGATTTCTTTATTAAGCTGTATTTCTATAATTGTGTTATATGATTTTGCTTGTCTTAAAAAAGTCATCAAAATAAACTGTGTTGATTCTGGACGTTTGTTTCTGCAGTTTCATTCCTATTCTGTTGTTTTGATTTTCCATAGATCTGGAAAACTGCTTAGTAAAAGATGTACGATTAGCTGGTTTTTGTGTTTTGTGGTATTGAACTCAATTTTATACAGTCAAACTTATTTGACTTGGGTTTCTTTTTCAACCTCTAAGATAGTCATAACTTTGTTGTAGTTCCTATCATTCTTATTTTGTGAAACTAGAAACCTTTCAACCAGCTTTGATAATTTTCCTAAAACTTCACATTTATCTAACTGATAACTTAAAATGTCTGACTTACTAATGTGTCAGAAAAATTAAAATCTGGGTTATCAAGTTTCTAGTCATCAGATTTTCTTTTGTTACTTGTTATTCATTTAGTAATTCATTGACTTGCTCAACAGACTTTTTAATAAACATCTGTTTCAAGTAATATGCTAGGCACTTTAATATTCAGTTGTCTCTGTTCTCATTTTAGGATTTCATAATTTATAATCAATAAATATTTATTGGGTATGATGTATCAACAATAAATAAGACTCATATTCTACTTCCTAAACTTGTCTGAATGCACTTGAATATATGCACGTTGACAAAAATTAGAATGGATTACTTGTTAGATTCTAAACATTAGTTTTCAACTCTGCTTTATTTTACTTTATGTTTTATTCAATAGCTTACATTCTGAAAGCAAATGGAGGGAAGTAGGAAAGAAGCTTTGATTACCTTTCCAGCCACTGAATGAAGTACCAAAAAAGTCAAAAGGATGGGCTTCCTTATTTAATCACTAATTTGGAAAGTAGAAATATTTTTCTTTAAAGCCAGTCAAGGTTTTGTTTTCAGCAAGTTGCCTGGGTGTTCCTGCAGTGACAAAGCTGGCAAAATATAGCAGCTGCCAGTAGCACCTCCAGTTCAATCCCAGTCATTGGAGCTTTTGCTCTTCTCACCATGGTTTGGTGGCAAGCCTTATAACCATTTACTGAAAAGGTTCATTTGCTTTCATCAGTAATGTTAACGAATTATTGTGTTAGACATTATATGCAATGCTAACTGATCCCAAAACATTACATTTCTTTATGAATTCCAACATAAGAGAAATACAAATATAAATACAAAAAAATTCAAGTTGATCATGTAGTACATTCACTGAATTTATTTTAATTCAGACTTTAAATCTGTGGATGTTTATGAGGACAGATTTGTGGAAAATTATGTAATTCTAGGCTTCATCTCCAGTAGGAAAGTCCTTAGGAAAATAAAATGAAGTGTTTTAATACAATGAGCTTCTTTTGATGTTTCATTAGGATTGTCAAAACAAAGGAAGTAAAGCATCCTACTGATCATGAATGATCTCTTATTCATTTAATGACTTCATTTCTGAAAGACCAGTTGATGTCAGTTTTATCTGGGAGATGTTAGTGAAGCAACTTGACATTAACCGACTTTAGTATTAACAGGGATTTTAGTTGGGATTGACTTTCAGAAGAATCTAATTATTTGAAACTGAAGGGGAGAAGGTGACTTGAACTCTGAAAAGCACCCATATGAGATGGATCTTTTTTGTTTTTGAATAAAGCTTTTAGAGGTAAATTTTTAATTGATTATTTGAGTGACATGGAATAAATTGAATTCTAGTTAAAATATTTTTAAAAACATTTTCCTTGAGATAAACAATATAAAATCAAATAAGGCTGAAACAGTTGTAATCAGATTCTACAAGAATTTTTATTTCATTATTAGTAGTATTATTGGTTATTAGACTGTATTAGTTTTTAAGCAAAATTGAGAAGTATCAGATTTCAACTCATTAAATTAGATGTTTTCATCTTTATCTGATGTAAAGACCACAAGATTTTCTCTTCTAAAATAAAACACTAAATTGTAACTTCCAAAATAAACTGCAGTTTTAATTATGTGTTCACATATTGGTTTAATTTTATGTTTTCATACTTCAAATTAGTCATTTAGCCATTGTTAAGAAACTATCTTCAAAAAAGTAAGTTATTCTCATATGAGTTGATACAAAATCTTTGTTTAGAGAAAGGACCCTTGTTAAAATGAAGCCATGTGAAACTGACTTCAAGTGAATTTTTTTCAAGGTATCGCATTATATTCAGATATAATACATATTTCATATTATATTTCTCCCAAAGAGCATTAAAAGAAAAATAAGCAAAACATTTTTTGCATTTAGGGCTCATATACAAGTAATTATTAAGATATATATAGTGGAAGATAGATTTTTTTGGCATATCAATGTATTCAGGGTTGTAGCCTTTCTAAGTGTTGTGTGATGCATATTTCTCTTAAGTCAATGCAATGTTCTGAAGCTAGTTATATAAATAATCATTATTAAGGGGAAAAGAAATCTTAGCGGCTTTCCAGAGGTTGTTTAAAATGTATGTTTGCATCACTATTATTTTTTTAAGATCTTTATTCGTATTAACTTTTTTGTTTATACTTTCTGAATTCCAAGGATTAGATCTTGAGAATACAAACTGAAAGGCAATTCCTTATTACATAACTGTTTGTTTATTTTACTCATCACTACAAGTTTGGTTCTTTCAGCTCAGTTCAGTTTCATGAGTCATACCACTCTGTTCCTTAGGTTGATTTGGATTTCTGACCTCATTGTCTATTCAAAACAGTTTAAAACATATAAGTGGGATTTTTACATAGATATAAATATTGTCATCAAGTATTAGAAGCTGTATGTGTGTATCCTGAGTTCTAAAGCCATTTGGATTACAAAATATGTTTGTTTTGGAGTTATTAAAATTTAAAAAAATTGGAAGTTGTCATAAGGAACTTGCAAAAGCTTGAAATTCAATGCTACATGACTATAGAGCCTAAATAGATCAAGTGTTGCCAAACTATAGCCAGCCATTGTCACCTGTTTGATTATATGTGTGTGTGTGTACATACTGATGTCTTTATTCCATTTGCCTTTCTTTCTCTCTCTCTTTTTTTTTTTTTTTTTTTTTTTTTTTTACTTATTTGAGAGTTCCCTCTGCTTGTTCATTACCCTAGTGCTCACAGCAGCTCTGGGCCAAGAAACTAGAAACTCAATCTTGGTTTCCTATCTGGGTGGTAGAAACCCAGTCATCTGAGTCATTGCTCCCAGCTGGAAATAGGAGCTGGAGCAAGGGATGGAAACCAGGCACTTGGATATAGGACGGAGGCATCTTAACTGGGTTTTTTACCACTTAGACCAAATGCCCAGTCCATCACCTGATTTTATAAGTGAAATTTCATTAGAATACAGCCATATCCATTCACTCATGGGTTGCTGTGGCTGTTTTGCATGACAATGGCAAGTTGAGTAGTTGTGAGAGACCTAATGTGCTACAGAGGCTAAGATAATTATTTTGTGGCCCTTTTAGTAAAGTAGACCTAGTTCTGCAATAGACTCTAGAAATTAAGGTTCTAGTCCCAGTTGCTCCTCTTCCAGTCCAGCTCTCTGCTGTGGCCCGGGAGGGCAGTGGAGGATGGCCCAAGTGCTTGGGCCCTGCACCTGGCTCCTGGCTTCAGATCTGCACAGTGTGCCGGCCATAGCAGCTTTTTGTGGGGTGAACCAATGGAAGGAAGACCTTTCTCTCTGACTCTCTCTCTCTCACTATCTAACTCTGCCTGTCCAAAAAAAAAGAAAGAAATTAAATGGGCTTCTACAGAACTATTCAGAATATTTTGATCCCTAGGTTCCTCTAGAGCTCAACCTGAAAAAATGATTGCCTATGTTCTTCATAAGTACATATCTGAATTACCTGCAATATTTAAAAAAATAAGATGATATGCTTCAGCTGTATATTACACTAACTAATTTTAGATTTGGAAAGAATTAATATATTGTATATAATGTATAAAAGTTTCCAAAGAATGCCAGTGCTTATCCTTGCTGATTAGTAGGTCATTTTCTCACTAACAGTGTGGTTCATTGCTCTCAGGGAAGCTGAAAGATCTGAGAATACTTCAGAATGAATTAATGATGGGCCCCTGTAGCCCAGAGGCTCCTATTTGAGTATGAAGATAGTTTGTTTCACTGGATTATGAGATTAATGTAGCTTAAACATATGCCTAGCATTTGGTTAAACTTTCTTTTCACATAGATTATAAATATTGAAAGAACCTGTATCTTTTTCTGTCTGCCTCTTTCGGCAGTGAGTGGGTAGAGCATGTGGTGAACAAAGCATTTCGTGCTTCCTTTTTCCACCTAGAAATTAATGTGTGGGGATGGGCTTGAGAAAGTTCTATGTTTGCTGTAGGAAAATTGGCTCTAGAAAATGGACAGAAGTCTGGAGAACAGTGATTTAAAAGAGAAAACTTTTGTGTAATTACACAGTAAAATATAGAAATAACCAGGATCTTTCATTGTCATTACACTCTGTTTTTAATGAATTACTATGTCTAGTATAAGAACGTTAACAAAAAGAGGCTAAAAAATGAATCTAAATATCTGAAACTGCAATAGTTTGGATAGGAGAATTAAGTAGCTTTTAAATATTTTATAATGACTATTAATTTAGTCAAATTTAGAGTGAATTATCTGCCATAGAACACTAGATTAATATGGTTGAGAGTGACACTGTTTTTCTCTCTGAAAAATTTAGGCATTTCAGCAGAACCATGGAAGAACTGGTTCATGATCTTGTCTCAGCATTGGAGGAGAGCTCAGAGCAAGCCCGAGGTGGATTTGCTGAAACAGGAGATCATTCTCGAAGTATTTCTTGCCCTCTGAAACGCCAGGCAAGGAAAAGGAGAGGTAGAAAGCGGAGGTCTTACAATGTTCATCACTCGTGGGAGACTGGTCACTGTTTAAGTGAAGGCTCTGATTCTAGTGTAGAAGAACCGAGCAAGGACTATAGAGATAATCACAATAATAATAAAAAAGATCATAGTGACTCTGATGACCAGATGTTAGTGGCAAAGCGCAGACCATCATCAAACCTAAATAATAATGTTCGAGGGAAAAGACCTCTGTGGCATGAGTCCGATTTTGCTGTGGACAACCTTGGAAACAGAACTCTTCGCAGGAGGAGAAAGGTAAAACGCATGGCAGTAGATGTCCCACAGGACATCTCTAACAAACGGACAATGACCCAGCCCCCTGAAGGTTGCAGAGATCAAGACATGGACAATGATAGAGCTTACCAGTATCAAGAATTCACCAAGAACAAAGTCAAAAAAAGGAAGTTGAAAATAATTAGACAAGGACCAAAAAACCAAGATGAAGGAGTGGTTTTAGAAAATGAGGAAATAAGCCAGACCAATAAGGACAAAATGGAATATGAAGAACAAAAAGTCTCAGATGAGCTCATGAGTGAAAGGTGACTTTTATATTCTGTAAATATAAAAATACTTGTCTCCAAAGTTTGTCTTTGAATGTGTTTTAATTTTAATTAAATCTATTTTAAAATCATTATAAATTGTAATAATGGTAGTGATATTACTGTTTAACTATAGCTATAATTCCTTATAATTTATGAAGTTTACCACAAAGCAAAATTGCTTATTTGATTTAAAAAGTCTTTTGATTGTATTATAATGACTTAATTTTCAGCTACGAAAAGAAAAGGAAATGAATTTTCAGTGAGAAAGAATGTACTTTTGAATAACCGTGCGTTTGTAGCTCTTCAAATTGAATGCATTATTATTTATTTGTTAAAGAGCTTTAGCCTTTGGTGCTTTTTAGAGTGCCTCAATTGATAGATAGTCTAATTCCGGACAATCAAAATTTATACCCAATCAACATATGTGGGTTGATGTTTATAGAAATCTGTAGCTTGCTAGGAATTCTGATCACTTATGAACTAGATAATCAAATTTATGGTTTGGAAACACCTAGTTTTGTCATTAGTAAAATGGAAGAAGCAACAGTCCTTTGGCAGTTAGTCTAATCTATTCTAGGAGGCAGGTGTAACACAGTGATGATTTTAAGAACTCTTGACAACATCAAAGGTAAGTGATTATTTTTCTTTTCACATAGAATGAATGCTTACTTGGAGAAAGTGAGGAGGAGTTGATACAGTTCAGCCTTTTTAGTGTGTATACTTAAAAACCAAATACCATGCTGTGAACCAAGAAGAACACACCTCAAATATGGTCTGGGAAAGAGTATTTGATTTTTAATTTGGAGAGTTGTGATCATTTAATCATGTAGATTGCATTTTTTTTCTTTTTTTTGTAAATATGATTCAGACATGATTAGGACCTGGTAGAAGACGATATAGAATAATCCTTTAATTAGCCACAGTTTTCAATCTGTGTAATTTTCCCAAAGAAGTAAAGTTCACACAAAGTAAAAACAAGTATTGAAAAGGCTTTGAAAAGTTTATACTGTTCTTTCCTTCCAAGAAGATTATCATTTTTATATACACTGAAAATTATTTGTATGTTATTGTTGGGCCATTGTGACTTAGGACCACATATCCTGACTAAAAATAATTATCTTGCTCTATTGCTGGGAGGGAGAGTGTGGCAGTGGAGATAAAATATTCAATTCTAGATTATTCACAGTTAGATCCCCTGCTTTTTGGATTGATTATGCAACGCGCGCCCCCCCCCCCCCCCCCCCCCTTTATTGTCTGCCTGTTATTGATCTGCTTCTGAGGACATCTACTCTGGAAGAGAAATGAGGTGAAACTCCCGTGATTCATTTCTTTTCATTGTAAAAAATATTTTAGTATCTACTAGGATAATCAGGCTCCCCAGCAGATGACAACCCAGGTACTGTTTTTCAAAGAGGATGTTTTCATAGTTAAAAAAATTCTAAAAATATTTCTCTCAGATTTTAAATGCATCTATAGACATGAACTGTTGTCACTGAAGAGGTATGTATAAATTCTTTCATGGGAAGAATGCTTGATACTGAAGGTATTTTCTTCATAAGTCTGTTTTGTTTTACAAATATTTCCAAAGTTTTCCTAGTATAAAAATCTGTACTGCTCTATTTCATTGGAACTGATTTATAAATAAGAACAACTGCATAGCGTGCGTGCGTGTGTGTTTGTGTTTCTCAGAGTTAAGAAACATTTGATTGACTACTCTTTATGATTCACTGGTGGTTCCTGGACTAAGAGTCTTGTCCTTAGCAGCCTTGTAGCCAGAGTAGAGATGATAATGCATTATGATGAGTGGAAGGTGTTTAGGGAAGACTTCTTAAAGGAGCTGTGTAAGAACTAAGACTTATTCAGAGATTGGAGAGTAGAGAGGACAGAGGGAATAGTGTTCCTAGGTATAGGAAACAGCTTGTGTGAAGACATGGATTATGAAACAAATGTGATGTATTAGAGATGTATTTGATTATTGCAGTTGAGACTAGAGCACTAAGCATTTTTTGAAGGCCTATTTACATGTTCAGTAGTTTGGATTTCATCCTATAAACAGATTGAAGTCAATGAAGAACTTTTAGCAGTGAAAAACTATTTAGATTTACATTTTATCAAGATAACATAATGGTAACAGGAACGTTTTATTTACCTTTCACTGACCTCCAGTCTATCTTTAAATGGAAGATAAATTATGGCCTTGACAGTAAAGGAAGAAAAATATTTAAGAACACCTTTAGGATTTGGAACTAATGATGAACATGGAGCAACTGAATAGGTATTAGTGAGGTGAAATGTAAATAGGAAACATGTTTGGCTATACATACAAGTAAGTGCAAACATACCTGAAAGCAAGACAAAGACCAGGGGAATTCTGATATTCTTATATAAGGGTATTTCAAAAAGTTCATGAAAATGGAATTAAAAAATTTTATTTTGATGTGTAAAAAGTTTTGAAATCCATGCATAGTTTATCATAATGTGCATTTGTCATGAACTTTTTGAAGACCCCTCCTGTTTTTCAGAGAGAGAACATGTGGAGAGAAAAGAGGAGACAGGTATACCTCTCAGAAAACAAAGGATCAGAGATGGGAAGAACTTGGATGGAAACCTACCTATGGAAGGTCCTGAAATCAATCCAATAAGGAAGGATTTTAAACTTCTAAATAGAACACTGTGTTTCTTACAGTGTGTGTGTGTGTGTGTGTGTGTATTATAAACTTCTTTCTTTTGGATTAGTTTTAAATTTATAGAAAAGTTGTAAAAATTTTGTACAGTGTGATTATATTCCCATGTACCCTACATACAGTTTCCCAGTGATAAGTTTTGTACATAACTCTAGTACACCTGTCACAATGAACCAATAGGGAAACATTTTTAGGTAAAGTCTACAGTTGATTAGAATTTCCTTTCCTTTTATTTAGTGTCCTTTTTCCATTCCAGGATATCACATTGCTTTTAAATGACCAATTATATTTTGAAGAGATTAATCTGCTTCTGTGTAGAAGAGTAGACAGGGATAAATCTAAATTCAGTTTAGAAAATCATAGTACAGAAAAGTATAGCATTAGCAGGAAGCTGGATCTGAAGCAGAGAAGCTAGGACTTGGACCAGGCTCTGTTATAGGGATGCAGGCATCCCAAGAAGCGTCATAAATGCTGCTCCAAATGTCTGCCACTTATTTATTTTTAGAAAATCAAATAAAAACTAAAATATCTTGTGAAAATGTATGTGGATTTAATATAATCTATGATTTTAAATGTCTCATTTTAGACATTTCAATATGCTTTTCTAAGTAAGCCAAGTTTAAGTTCTACATGCTTATAGAAAACATTTTAATTTAAAAAAAAATCACTTGGGGAGATAGCCTGATTGGTTAAAATTAAGAATTACAGTAAAAAGAATGTTCATGACAATTTTTGAAGACTATCACTTAATTTTATTCAGAAGCCAAACCTCTCATTATATAACCTGGTTCTTGGTGTTTTAACTTATGTATTCTGTTATGTAAACAAGTTAAGTACTATCATGTAAACATTGCTTCTGCTAGACCTAATAGTGTCATGTTGTTTGTGTTAGTCAAATATCTGCTAATTGTTTTCATTTGTATGTTAAATTAAACTGTATGGTATTCCCAAACATTTATGGAAGTAATGAGAACCTATGTTATTTTGTACATACCCTCCTTAATATTTATCTTTTTTGTATTCAGAGTGACCTCAACTTTGATTTAATGGATTGCCACTGTTGTAAACTTTTTTCTTCCTTTCAGAGTAATAGAGTTGTGAATTTTTAAGTAATGTCGTTTCTAGAATATTTGGGAACGTGGTTATGAAAAGTAATTCATCCCAGGCCCTTGTATTTCATGTGCTGAAGAAAGGCTTAGCCTGTTTTTGATTGAGACTTTTCCCATTTTATTGAGCAGTGGTGTTTCAGGCTCAAGCTGAATTGCATGGCATAAGAGAGGAGCAGTGAGCATTTGATGAAAGCAGATAATAAAATGCATCAATTGTGTCAGCACCTCTTGCAGTCACATCTGGCTTACTGTCAGGGTCCCATTAGATTCCTGTGGTTTTATGTGCCAAAAATAATATGCTCTGTAGTTAATGGAACCAGGATATTTGCAGTTTGATTAAAAAGAATCATTTTCTTTCAGATCTTTGTCAGGCTTAAGTTCCATCTCTGAGCTGCCATGTCTCTTTAAAATTTTACGACTGAGAGATCAATTGTTCTTTTGATCTGTTTCTTTCTTTTTCCTTATTACAGTGATTCCAGCAGTCTCAGCAGCACTGATGCTGGTTTATTTACCAATGATGAGGGAAGACAAGGTATTGAAATGCCTCTTTTCTCTCTTTGGGAAAAGTTCTCGTTTTTAAGTTGCACTTAAAATTGGTTATTTCATAAGTTAATAACTGCAATCTGTTTAGCTTACACATGCTACTTAGTGGAGTGGAGTTTGGTATTACTGTTGGTTTTTAACCTGCTGTGGAATATGCCCTGTCTCCCTTACTTAAAGAAATTGATTACCTACAAAAGCTAGTATATGGATTATCCTCTTGGAGAAAGCTTTTCATACTTGTCTTTTCAATTTGGACTCTTAGGGCAAGTTCAAAAGACATTCTCCACCTGATTCCAAATGTATTTCATACTGTTAAAGCATTCATAAAGGTGCAGTTGCAAGTCATTTATAATTTTTATTCAGCTGTGAAATTACTTCATTCTATCCAGTTTATAATTAAATGATTTTTATAAATTCAGTACTGTACACTATGAAATAGAAATGTCTTACATCTTAGATGTTTTCCATCTTTGAGACTTCCTGGAAGATTTTCACATCTTAAATTGGCCAAACTTTGAAGCTATGAAAAATATGAAAATTTTAGTAAAGGGACAGGTTTAATTCTTAATTGGATTAATGTCATTTATTCACATCTGCTTATGATTGTTTACTTTCATATTCTATAGAGATCATGAAATTGAGCTAATACATATAAATACTTATTCCAAATGTTATCTTCATTTCTTAATAATACCTTACAGGACAATAGTAAGTTCAAAGGAAATAAACTATATATACGTGTGTGTATGTGTGTGTGTGTGTGTGTATGTTTGTGTGTATAGTTTAAAGTATAATTGTGTTACAAAATATATATACTGAGAATATTTTACTCTTCCAGTGAGAGTAATGTAAATAATCATTCTTTTTTTGCTTATCTATAAACCATATTTTAGATAAATATGTATGTAACTATTTTAAAGTTTGTAGTCTTTTAGAAGTTGTGACTTTACTTATATATGCTAGAATCTGGCAACATACTTAAGCAAGCTTAACCACTTTGATAACATCCCTAAATTCTAATAAAAAAAAAAAGGCCTTTATTCCCAATATATTATAAATGTTGATACTGGTAATGACATGAAATGAAAAAACTTTTTAAAAAAATAATTTTTGACCAACTCTCAATCTCTGAAAAGCACTGAGTGGTTTAGAATGATGTACTAGCATTTATTGTGAGCTTACTGTGTTTCATAGTGCCAAGTGCTTTTCTTGCATTTAACTTGCTCTAAGTTCCTATTTAATTCTTTAAAAACCATGAGATTCCCAATTTTTAAAGTAAGAAAACCTATGCTAATAGAGTTGACGTAAATTCTCCATTACTGCAAAACACTAGAGTTTTAATTTGTCTAACTGCATATTCAAGTTCTTCATGAACAGCGGTTTGATTTCTCTGTTAAGAACAAAGTTACAAGGCCTACATTGTGGCACAGTAGGTTAAGCCACTGCTTCTGACCAAGCATCTTGTGTGGTCATCGGTTGGAGTTCTGGCTGCTCCACTTCTGATCCAGCTCCCTGCTAAAGCACCTAAGAGAGCAGTGGAAGATAGCCCAAGTGGTTGGGCCCCTACCACCATGTGGGAGACCTAGATGGAATACCAGGCTCCTGGCTTTGGCCTGGTCCAGCCCTAACCATTGCGGCCATTTGGGGAATGAACCAGCAGATGGAAGATCTCTTTCTCTCTCTGTCTCTCCCTCTATCGCTCTGTAACTCTGCCTTTCAAATAAATAAATATATTTTAAAAAAGAATAAAATTATCACATCAATAGTAAAATAGCTTCCTTTTTTCTTAATAATGTCTCAGTAGGAATTTAATCTAGGGTATTCAGTTTCAAGTTACTTTCTTTATTTTCTTGTGCTCAAATCTGATTTGTGATACTTTAAATATAACACAGTTATAAGTATTAATATTAAGTTCTATGAATTCTACTTTTTATGAAATTAAGATTTTATTCCTCAGTTGAAATGTGCTATTGATTCTAGTTTTCTAAATGCTTTTGTCATTTCCTTTTCATTTAAAATACAACTGTTTTTCATAAAATCATTTTTTCTATTGAATCTTTAGGTTTTTATTTTTTTAACTTTGCCCTTAAAAGTGATTATAGTAAGAGAGTTTCAAGATAAGAAAATTTTGTTTAAAGAGAAAAAGTGTTTGGTAACTATGATGACTCTCTTAGAACCCAGAATTGGTGGTACCTTCTAAGAATCAAAAGAAAAGGGCTGATGCTGTGGCATAACAGGTTAAGAAGCTTCTACCTGCGACGCTGCCATTCCATATAAGCACCAGTTTAAGTGCTGGCTGTTCCACTTCTGATCTAGCTCCCTGCTAATGGGCCTGGGAAAGCAGCAGACAATGTTACAAGTGCTTGGGCCCCTTTAACTCACATTGGAGACCTAGATGGAGTTCTAAGTTCCAGGGTTCGGACTGGCCCAGCCCTAACTATTGCAGCCATTTAGGGAGTGAACTAGCAGTTAGAAGACTCTCTCTGCCTTTCTCTCTGTCTGTCTGTCTCTCTCTCTGTAACTCTACCATTCAAATAAATAAAATTAATTATTAAAAAAAAATCACAGCAGGAAGACTTTAATGAATCTCAGATCATATTCAAAGTGCTAATTGTATATTATTTTGAAAAGCCTTCTGCCTTATTTTCCATTTATACAGCTCTTTATTTTCCTTTTTTTAAAAAATATTGATAATCACTAAAGACCACTTCATACTGGATTTTAAATTGACCTTTAAAATTGTCTCACGGTTATTCATGGATGTTCCCAAAAATCAAAATTAATGAATAGTGTTGTGTTTTAAAAACACCTCACTTACAATAGTTTGTTATATTTTCTTTATAAACTCTGTGTATTGTCATTTTTCATTTAAAATCAAGTTTTTCAAAGCTATTTCTTAATGAACTTAATTAGATTAATTTCATTTATTCACATCTGTTAATGACTATTTCCCCCTTTATACTCCATAGAAATCATGGAATTAAGCTAATTATATACCATTATCAGCCTTAAAGAACAGGTTCCACGGTTTTATACCTTTTAATTCCCAGTAGGAGATTAAGGCACATTTTCTTTTAATGTAGAATGGGTAGTACCTTAAATGGATTTCCCTATAGTTATTGCCAAAGGATTAACTTTGCATTTTAATTGGTTCTAAAATATAACATTTTGTGTTTTTGTTGATGGCAATGCTTATTGTAATATTAGAGAACATTTATTTCAGCTGTGGTATAGTGTAAAAAGCTTTCTTTATAGATAATATATATATGTTTAACTGGTGATCTTGTATTCTATCATATATATGTAGTGTGTATATATATGTATACATGTATATATGTATGTATAAAATGTATATATACATATATACACTATATATATATAGTTGATAGAATACAATCCTGTATTCTAATATATAGTATATATATACATGTGTATGTATGTATAAAATGTATATATACATATATACACTATATATATACTATATTATATATATATAGTTGATAGAATACAGGATCACTAGTTGAATTTGAAATGTAGATAAATAAGACATAATCTTGTAGTATAAATGTGTCCCATGCAGTGTTTAGATATATTTATATTAAAAATATAGTACAAGACAACATACTCGCATTAAAAGTTAATCTTTTACCTGAAATCCAGATTTAACTGCCATCTTATATTTTTTATTATATAATAGCCCTAATTGTGTATTTGGGTGATAAGACTGAATTTTTAGTCCAGGGGCCTTCTGTCTTCACAGGTGATGATGAGCAGAGTGACTGGTTCTATGAAAAGGAGTCAGGGGGAGCATGTGGCATCACTGGAGTCATTCCCTGGTGGGAAAAGGAAGATCCTGCAGAACTAGATAAAAATTTACCAGATCCCGTCTTTGAAAGTATCTTAACTGGTTCTTTCCCCCTTATGTCGCATTCAAGCCGAAGAGGTAAGTAGCACTGTCTAATTAGTGGGTACAAAGGATTTTTGGTCAATCTAGGAAAGTTCATTGGAAGAGGAGAGGCTAAAATGGAAATTAAACATAAACTGGATATTAAACACAAACATGTGGGCACTAATTCAGCTATATTTATCATGCCTTCAAATGATGAGAAAATATTGAATTGCTTTTGTGCTAGGCCCATTGTGAAAATGTTGCAAAGATAGGAAAGTGAATTGAGAAAAAAAAGTTACCTACATGTTACTCTAGGGCTTAAGAGACTAGAAAGTAAAGTGATGACTGCATTGGAACCCTGCTAGGCATTTGCTTCATTCTTTTAGGTGTGAATTTTATATTTTCCTCAGTAATATTCATGCTGTTTACCCCTAGTACCAACTTTTAATTCTCTACTGATAGAATCTTCTATGCTCCAATGATCATAGAACCTTCTACATTGAATACTTTGATTTCCCAGGTTTCCAGGCTAGACTCAGTCGCCTTCATGGAATGCCTTCAAAGAATATGAAAAAATCTGGAGGGACTCCATCTTCAACGGTAGGCATGCTTTTTTGTTGAATTGTCATGTTTGGGAATGTTTCCATTTCTATGGAATAAAAGCCACATCCTCATCCTTTATTCATTTTCTAATGTTATACTTAAAAATAATCCATTTTTTTGTAGGCTACAAACTGGACCAGTGAGATTCCCCTATAAACAAAATCTTCTAATGCTAATAAATTAGTTACGTTTTGAACATCTGGGGAATGACATTCGAGGGAACCTGGCTCCTGTCCTCTTCCCTGGAGGAATATCATTGAAGTGAGAGCCTCTTTGATGAAAAGATGGGGCTGTTTTTGCTGGAGGACTGGTATTCTTCCTTTTTAGTCAGAAGTGAACCTGAGTGAGGAGGCTTTCTAGGGATCTAGGTTGGCCCAGGGTGGATAGAAACTACTGTAAATTTTATATATTTTTCTCTTTTATGGTTTTTTAATTGACTCCGTTTATGTATTACTTGCTTTGCCAAAATGCTTACAAAAGCTAAATAATTGAAAACTTCCAGACCTAACCTAAGTATTCCTTAATGTTTATACTGTGATGGTTAAGAATGAATTTTTGCATATCTAACTGTTGTAAATAAAAAAGCTGATGCATTAACATTTATGATTCATTTTTAGAGAAGTCTTAAGTAACCAGCATTATTTAAAATATTTGCATTTTACTCAGGGTATTTCAATAAGGGCTAAGATTAGTAGTAGGTAAGGTCAATAATCTTTGCTAGAGTTTGTATTTTGTTCAGTTTTCTTTATTTGGATTATCTGCTCTGTATTTCAAACCCATTGTATTTTATAGTATAGTTTTCATTGTACTGCAAAAATCATCCTAGTTCTAAACTAGCCACAGTGATAACTAGTCTGCACTAATAGAATCATTTGCTATTACCTTTTAAATTATCTGCTTTGTCTGATACCTAAAGCACATCAAAAATTATTTTGGTGTAGAGCTTAGTGAAATCATGTGAAAACTGGTATTATTGCAAATACTTTGTGACCCTGAATTATATTGTCATGTTTAAAAGTGAGAGCTGCTTGTACAGCCTTTGAGTGGCAGACCATATGTGTCACTGTGTCAAAAATACTTGCATGAGCTCATTTTCACCAAGCAGTGGGGAAAATGTAACATTTCTATTTATGGTATAATTTAGAAACTATATTAAGTTCAGGCCATTTGAATTCTTCAAAATGGTTATATTAAAGTCGTTAATATTTTTATTAAGTTCCAATAATTGATGGAAACAATGTGATTTATTATGTGTATTTTTATATTATTGTATGGATCAATTAATTGTTAATTCAACATTTAATGGTTAACTTAAATATGATTGGAAAAGAAAACTAAAAAGTTGACATTGCCTTTACCTGAAGTTAATATCAAACAGAAAGATTTCAACAAATGTATTAAGTGGAAATGTTTGACATCTCCAAAGATTGCTTCTCTGCACTGGAGAGATTAAAAATGATGAAACGCAACTTTGAGTCTCGTTACCTTTGCATATTTAAAGTGATATTTATAGGTACAATAATGTGGTGTTTGGTAATTGTAAGTAAGCTTTTTTGTGCTTTGTCTTTGGAGTGAAATTCATGAATTTTCTTCTGAATTACATAAATGCTTTTTTATTTTATTTTGTATAATGATTGTCTCTTAGACCTCAATAAGTCACTTTAAAACCTTGGCCTTTGAACTTTGCCTTACCATTCATGAATCTTGATGAATGCTCTCTAGTTCTTGGTTCAGTTTTACCTATTTTTATTTTTGGTTCACTGCTTGCTTGAGCATAGCTGGGATTTGTAGCCCATTTTCTAGGCTTATTGCGGTCTCACTGTGGTATTTTATAGAAGCTATTACAACTGATAGGCTAGCTTCATGGTATTGATGATACATGGCTTAACCATACTAAAAGCTGCCTTCCCTCTCTAAATTGTAAAAAGGTGATTAAGTTTCACTTGATGGAGATATACTATATATGTGTGTTTATCATGAAACTAGTGCATTAGGCCATAAACTGTTTTCCTGCTCTGCGTTTTGTATTCAAAATTTTACTGAAGACAATGGACTCCTTCAGGTTTTCATTTTCTCAACCCTGAATTGTCCTTGTTTGAATTTTGAAGTACTGTAATTTTTTTCCCCCAATAAAATCTCTGACTTGGGCAAGAAAGGTAAGAGTTTCAATTTGTGCTGATATTTTTCTAATTTGCTGTGCTGTTTTTGTTGTTTCTGTTGTTAAATGTATTGCTTATACTGTTCATATTATGTATAACTACCTAGTGTAAAAAACTGTAACTTTGAAAACAGTCATCTTTAGAAACAGTACTTATGACCTCTGGTAATACATGACATTTAATTACCTTAGACTTTTATGCTGGAAAGCCACATTGCTTTTAAGAGAGATTAATATTCTGAGCTAGTTGGATACATGTAGCTGCAACCCCTTAAACAGAATGGCAACAAAAGATTTCTTAAGCAGATGAGTGACGCCAGCAAAAGTGTGATCATATAGTATCTTTGAAGGAAATGACAGAAGGAAAATCTTTTACTGAATTCTTAATGTAAACATTTTTCAGAGGAAAAGTTTCCAGTTTGATTACAGTAAATTTTTGTTGCTCACTATAGTTTTTCTATGAAATCTCTGCAAACATGGTTCTCTGGAACCATGGCTCCTAAAGAAAAGACCGGGTTCAGTTTCTGCAAGCCCCTGCTGGCAACATTTTCATCAGCTAATCAGCATATAACCTTGTTTTACGTATATTTGTGTCTAAAGACATTTAACATATATTTTGACTCATTAACATTGAACTCATGCCCAACAGCACTATAAATCTTGCTTAAACAAAGCTTATCAAACACATGATTTCTTCCCCAAACATATCCGAGCCTTCTTGTTCTTAGGTATACTAGAAATCACTATACTTTTGGGCCATTCAAAACAGTGAAATCACCAACAAAAAGTACAAAAATACATAAAACCTAGCCCTAAAAGGACAGCAAAAAGAACACTTGTTTACATTATGGTAGCTAAAACAAGAAAGCAGAGTTACTGTGTTGATCAACTGGGAGTGCACATGTCGGTCAGGCCACCCACAATTTTCAGTTCGTTGCATGTCCAGGAAAGACTGCAAAATATCTGTGAATATTGGCTTCGGGGTTACAAATAAATCTTAGCCAGTAGACCAATTTGCCAATGTAGAAGGAATCCATGAAGTGGAATAAGTATTGACTGCTTTGAGTTTTGTAGAGATCAAAGTGATATTGTAGGAAATTTAGATTCTGAAGTCAGACTTCTGTGAGTCTACACTCTGATTCTTCTTGTCACTTGTTATTATATGTTAAACCTCATTTTCTCCTTTTATTAAATATGAGCAGTACCTACTTTGCAAAAGTGTTATCAGGCTTAAATTAGATTATATGTAATGAGCACAATACCATTCTGGCATAGTGTATATGTTAAATAAATGATAGTTACTATTATTGTTAGGTGTATTTGGTCCAAGAAGCTGGTTACTTAAAAAACATTTGTATCATGGTCAAACTGCAGAATTTTAGACTTTAAACTTTTCTGTTCATATTTTATATATAATTTCTTTTATATTTAATATTTAAAGTGCTTTATATAGCAGCCTTTTATGTTTCTTTTATACCTCATTTATATTCAAGCTGGCCCTTGTCTTTAATATAGTCTGTGAACAATAGTTTGAAATGAATTTTACATTGACAGCTACTGCACTAAATCTCAAAAATTTAATTGTACTCTGAAAAATTGCTCTAAACTCCCTGCTAACCTATCACTCCACTCCCCAATCATTAAGCTATTCACTTGTTGAAAGACTTAAACACTGTTCACTGTTTGGGAAGTTTGGCTCCAGACTGATCTTGTAGTTAAAAATAATTCTGTCCATTTATGTGAGGGTGAATGCAGAGAACCTGAGAATATAACATTAATAGGAATCACTAATGCTATCTTTCAGTTAAAACAAAACACCAGTTACTTGGAGCCCAGCCAACCAGCCTGTTTTATTTACTACTTTTACACAAATTAAGCAAGTGACAATTCCAAGAACTGTCCTGGGACCATTATCCAAAAGATTAAGCTTAAGTCTTTTTTTCTTTCCAGGATTTCTGTGTTCTGTACAATACAGAATAATAGCCCTCACAATAAGGATACCAGATCATTTTTTGGGATAGAATACTTACCAAGTAATCTTACTTGAGTGAAGCGTTCCAGCTTAGCCAGCATACCCTCTTCTTAAACATTCTAATTAATCAGTGTTTTCTGTATTTAAGAGTTTTGAAAAAATTTTTTTAACTCATTGTCTTTTTTTTTTTTTTTGAGAGGCAGAGTGGATAGTGAGAGAGAGACAGAGAGAAAGGTCTTCCTTTTGCCATTGGTTCACCCTCCAATGGCCGCCGAGGCTGGCGCGCTGCAGCCAGCGCACCGCGCTGATCCGAAGGCAGGAGCCAGGTGCTTCTCCTGGTCTCCCATGGGGTGCAGGGCCCAAGCACTTGGGCCATCCTCCCCTGTACTCCCTGGCCACAGCAGAGAGCTGGCCTGGAAGAGGGGCAACCGGCAAAGAATCTGGCGCCCCGACCAGCACTAAAACCCGGTGTGCTGGTGCCGCAAGGTGGAGGGTTAGCCTATTGAGCCGCGGCGCCGGCCTAACTCATTGTCTTTCAACAGGAGTTAACCTGTGTCCACTGAGTTACCATTCAAATTGTGTTATTGAAAAATTGGGAAATAAATGACTCGACTTAAACCTTGGTTTGTTGAAAGCCAATATAAGTATTACATGAGGTATTGCATGTATTAGTTATAGGGTTTTGTTTAAGTGTTTATAATTTTGCAGTTCATTTTTTTGTATGAGAATGCAAATGGTGGTGGTGGTAATTGTGGTTATTTTGCCATAGAATATGAAACTGATATAATTGAATTCTTATTGATATATCAAATTTATCAAGTTAGGATATCTGAAAAAAATTTGTACATTGACTTATAATTTATATTG